GCGATTTAAGATCAAACTAATATAAATTATGTTGGGATCCTTATAACTTTATCTCTTTACTTTCCATTCTTTATTTACCTACTGCTCAATCTCTCATTCTACTCCTTAAAACAAACCAATCTAAAACTTACATTTTGTGGTGAATAGTTTTTCAAAAACCAAACAACACAAATCCCCCCCCCCCCCTTCTCTCCCTCTTGTGATTGAAGTCGTTTGGTCTATAAGTGGTATCAGAGTCTAACTCCTATCATATGACTAATTGTCTCAAGAAGCGAGAATGACATTAAATGATTCACTAATCAAACCCTCTGTTCTTTAATAGAGAAGAGTATGCTTATTGAAAAGAGAATATGAAAATCATTATAAAGGGGTGGATTTTGATATATAGTTCGCTGTTAAAAATTGTATGTTTTTCTCACTCATCAAATTAATGATGTAGCGGAAATCAAATCTAGAAGTTTATGGAACATAAAGGATAAAGAAAAAGTGCAATACAATTTTAAAGGTAAAACTATCATCACTATAACTTTAGGCATGGATGAATTTGCTTTCATGTTTTTCATTGTAATTCTGCAAAAGAAATGCAGGACACCCTTCAAGTTATCCATGAAGATAAAACAGAGGTTATAAAAAAGATAGGATGAACACATTGACCCATGAGTATGAATTGTTAGAATGAAACCAGGAGAAGATATTCAAGACATGGAAAATGATTTATTCATATTTTTAATCACTTATGAGCTTTGCGTAAAAATTTAAAATGGAGATTTAATTAACTAAGTCATTAAATGCTTAATTTCATCTGACAACCTAAAGTTACTACAATTTATGAATCTAAATATTTATCTTCTATAAATTTGGCTACTCTATTCAGTAAGTTGCAGAAACACGATATTGAACAAAACTTACTTGCTAAAAGTGAAGAAGGTGAAAAAAAATAATCTTGCAATAAAAGATACAAATGTCAAAGACATGGAGTCGGAAGATGAAAACTTTGAAATTGATGAAGAAATGTATCTCCTATTTTGCAAATTCAAGGAATTTCTAAGGCACAACTGACGACCTCTAAAATTCTAGAAGCAACGTAAATAAAAGTCGAACTTCATTCTACCTTAATTCCAATGCAAAAATAAAGGTCCCATAAAGTCATAATGTCTGCAAAATAAAAAGAAATCTAAAAGATAAAATAAATAAAAAAGGCCCAAAAAGATTTTAAGAGAGCTTACATTGCATGAGACAAAAACGATATGAACTCCTTTGATGAATCTGAAAAAGAGGAATAAATACACTTATGTCTCATGACAAACCATGAAGAAAATGAGGCAAATAATTTAACTTTTGAATTTGCTTATAATGAGTTATTTCTCATCTATAAAAAGTTAGACAATAAGTTAAGGAAATTAAAATAAATTGTTTCTATATCTAAGTCAAGTATATTCTTGTTGAAAAAAGAAAATAAAAACTTATTAGAAGAGAACAAAATCTTTTATTTCAAAACTCTCCTTCTTCGTCTTGTGATTAGAATTCTGAAAAATTTATCAACTCTAAAAAATGCAATCTTTGAGAAAAAATTTATCCAATTCGAAAGGTACAGTAACAGCAGGATATTTCATACATAAAGCATTATAATTCATATCATGGGCAACAAGTTCTCTAAAAGTTCTTTGATTTGTCATATTAAATTTAATAGGAAAAAATCAACAAAAAAAAAACGAAAAAGAAAACCCAAAACTACTTCAACAATGCAGCAATTAGGAAAATACCAACAATGTCCCTATTAAGAAAAAGAATGAAAAAATAGAAAAAAAGAATAAAATAAAATATAAAAATTATGAAAATATAATTAAAAATCAAATCAAATCAAAATAAAACTCTATAAAAACTTTCAGATTTTTTTGAAAATATGAAAATAAAAAATAAATCAAATAAAATAGGAAAATGAGCAATTTGTGATTTTTAGGGCCAAAAACTGTTCGTCAATTTTTTTATGATTTTCTGGAAAAAATTTGGAACAAATCAAAACAGTAGCTTCCAACTTATTCGATAGGCTGAAACGCTTACCACTACACTGCAACCCTGAAAATTAACACGCAAAAATAAAAAACAAAAAAACAAAAAACAAAAAACTCTAACAAAATTCTAAAATTGGATAAAATCAACAAGAATCCCCAGCAACGGCGTCAATTTGATCCGTTGTCGCGCACAGATCAGAAACGAGTATTTTTTGAAAATTAGTAAAGCGACAATGAATCGAGTCGTATCACAAGGATTCTTGAATTGAATTAACCAAAGAAGTAAAAGTTTATGGAGATTTTAAGTTCGATTTATAAAATAGTTCATATAAGTGATTAAAATAAGTCATTATAAAAATAAGCCAATCTACTATTTCGGTTTCAGGCTAAGCAACAACACGATAAGCAAACGGATAAATACAATCGCGAATTAAGCAAACACGATATAGAAATGCGATTTAACGACTAAGCGACGTAAAAAGCGATTAAAAGTTAGGAATACAATCATACAAATAAAATCAAATTATTTCATAAAATAACAGATTAAGAAAATTCAATTTCATAGAATAGAATTGAAAGCGAAACAAAATTGAATTGATAGAATAAAAACCTCAAAGCGTTGGAAACACGATTATAGTAGTCGACTCCGGATGATTAGTTCTTCAACGTAAGCGTACAAAAGCAAAAAGTAAAATTAGTGAAAAGAAGGTTCTCATCAGTAGTACGGCTGCTACTAGGTACAGAGAAGCACCACAAAATCCGTTTCTAACCCAATTGGGTCGAAAAACATAAAAAAACTCGGCCCAAAACTAAATATTTCTAACAGCAGATTTCGGGTCCTGACTTCAACTAATAATTTGAGCCTTCTACACTCCGAATCATCTTCTTCCTCAAACAAGAAAGTTGTAGCTCTCTGTCTTAGCTTTCCAAATTTTATTATAAGGCGTCAATCCGGTTCCCGAAGCTCCAGTTATGATCCAAACAGTGGACAGATACCAAATAACTGCTAAAGCTGAAAATAAGATGCGAAAATAAAATAAAGGTAAAAACAAACTTAAATATGAAAACACATTAAAATAGTAAAAATACTCAAATAAACTATAGGAATGCCTAAGTATAACAATGGAAGAATGTGTATGAAGATGTACTGATCATAGTGCCACAAATTCACACCTAGCCATCACAACCATTTTACTATTCAGATGCATTGTGTCAAATTTCATATTCATATAAAAAGTTTTGGATTGTACCAAAAGAAAAAGATATAAAACTTTAGCATGAAAATTTACAATGTTCATATTCACACTCTTAAATGGCCTAAAACAAGGAGTGGACAAAAGTTTTATTGTCTTAGATAAAGTTGAGTTCCATAAACATGATTGCATATTGTCTAACTATCGGTCTATATGAATAGTTACATGATTAATGTTATGCACCCTTTCGATATAGTCGATAACTTTGTCCAACATTGCATCGGCATCTCCTTTAGGATTAATTTTAACATGACAAATTAGCAATACCTTTTCAACTGTGATGAAAAGGTATTAACATAAGCTTTACGATTATTGTTGATTTAGTTTGTGTAAAAAAACATTATTAATTTAATTTTCATAAATACACATTATCTTGTCACTGGTTAAAATAGGCTAGCTCATATGTATCGGCCCGTCAGGCCCAAAAAACCATAGAGCTTGGGTCTTAAAATTAGAGTCCATATTTTCCAGGATTTTTTTAGCTCAGTCCTAAAAAAAACCCGCTACTCGTTAGAGCTAGCGCATATGGGTCGTGGATAGCACATTAGATCTGCATCGCTATAAATTTTAATAAATTATATTAATATTAAGTTAATTTATTGTTTCTAATTAGTCTCACATTTAAAAAAATGTTACAATGTAGTCCTTTAAGCCTACTCCGTTAGCCTAATAAATCCTTTCTGTTAATTTTTTTGAGAAAACGTTAAGAGGCGCCTATGTGGCATAGTGAGATACTGATGTGGCATTGTGTTTTTTTCCAATTACTATTATACTGATGTGTCTTAGTGAATTTTGTTTTCATTTTTAGTAACAAAAATACTCAACTCTTAATCTTCTCTCTTAGTTTCATAGTTTCACTCACATTGCCAAAAAAAACCTAGCAGCTACGAAGAAGAAGAGTTTGGTGGTTGAAGACAAGGATTGTTGGAACATAGCAGAAAATGATACCTAAAAACTCAACCATGTCTCATTTCAAACCCAAGGTACGTGTGTGAACTTATTATTTTAAAAAGTAAACTTTTAACAATTTTGTCTACTTCAACATCTGATTTCTAAGTTATTTGGTGTTATTAGGTCATGAGTGATAGGTTTGAATGTGTTATCCATCACAGGGGTGTGTTTGGTGAGTTTAACAGATTAGGTTACAAGGGGTTAGAGGAGATTTGGCAAGTTGACCTGGGTTTTTGAAGTTATTTTGAGATCCTAGGTGGGTTGAAAGATTTAGGGTACCCAAAAGTTAAGAGCTGGTGGTATTATGATGTAATGGATGATAATGAGCTAGTGATGTTGCAAGATGATGCAAGAATAAATATAATGAAGACGATTGCACTGATCAATGGGAATGTTTATCTATATGTAATGCATCTAGTGTATGGGGAAGAGAAAATATTGCCTCTTGAAAACAATGTAGGTCCCAATGGTGAAAACAACGTAGGTCCTAATGGTGTAGAAGACGACAGTTTGGAAAATGACATGTTGGATGAATTGAATAATGGTATAAAAAAAACTTTTGATGATTTAGGGACCATTGAAGAATTGAATAATCTAGGTGACAAGTTTGATGAAGGAGGGCCCATAGATTTAGAAGATTCAGTTGTAGTTGACCTAGAAGGTTCATTTGAAGATGTTTATGAGGATTGAACCACTGAGGGCAGTAACCAAAAAGAGTCATGTCAGGATGTTAACTTTAAAGGGGACAGTTTGTCTGAAAATGCAATAGTGAATATTACTTTAGATGGGACCATTGATCGTATGTGACCAAGAAGATGATATTTTGGATGGCACACCTTATCTGGTAAGTGTTCAAACTGATTCAGTAGCTGAGGGACTTATTTGTAACCAAGATGATCATCAGGGTTTAGAATGTAACCAAGAAGATGAGGGGTTGGGATGTAACCAAAAACATGTTGGTGATAGTGAAGATGATAGCATTTTGAATGTAAACTTTGAGGATTTTGGTGAGGATTCAATTGGAATTGCTAAAGAAATAGTTGTTGATAAAGATGAAGGGAAAGGAAAGATGAAGGACAAATTAAAAGGTAAAGGAAATGGGAAGGGAAAGGATAAAGGAAAAGGTAATCGGAAGGGGAAATCCAAGCTTGGAAGACCAAAGAAACAAAGGGTGGGGAAAGAAGTAGTTGAGGGTAGTGGTGTATTTGATAATGTGAATGAATGTGAGGTTACAAAGGAAAACTTTAGGGTTTGAGTGACATTGAGGAGTATGACAATGATGAGTTACCACATGATTATGATAGTGAGGATGATGAGATTTTAAAAGATGATTTTCCATCTTTCAAGCTTCCAAAAATAATGGATGATTACAAATGGGAATTAGGGACTTATTTTGCTACTAGGGAAGACTTTAAAAAGGCAGTTAAAACTTATGCTATTCATTCAGGTAGAAACCTCAAATTTAAGAAAAATGATAACATGAGGATGTGAGTCATATTTTGTAGTTTATGTATTAGGCTTATTATGCGTCTTTTGTTTTGACTTGTAACGGCTAGTAATGACTTGTAATATATGGCATACAATGCATGTTTTCTACTTTGAGTTATGGCTAGTTATGCCACTTTTGTTGTCACTTGTAATGACCTATAATGTTACTTTTGGTATGACCTTTAATACAACTTCTGTTAAGGTTTTGTTACTATCACTCATGACCTATAATGTTACTTTTGGTATGACCTTTAGAACAACTTCTGTTAAGGTTATATTACTATAGTTATGACAAAATTATGGTGTGCATTTGTTAAAGTTATGTTACTACTGTTCTGTCAGCTAGTTATGGTGTGCATTTGTTCTGGTATATTATGGGAAACATTTGTTCTAGTATATTGTTATGCTTATGTTACAACAAATAAAAAGTTCATTTGTTCTAGTATATTATGGGAAATAAAATGTAAGATTACTCATAATACATTTCATTGATAACGATTGACAAATACATAACAATGTTGACAAACGCATCTCCTTGACAGATACATTACATGACAAATAAATGTTGACAAATACATCTCATTACACAGACAAAGAACCAATCTAAAATTACATTGTTACAAATACAACATTAAACATTATGCTCAATATTCCAATCACTACGGACACTTTCAACCATTCTCGAGTGTTAATGATCTAATTCTTCAATTTGTAAATTCTCTTCTTTTGCCTCTGGATCTTCAAATCCCTTTCATCAATAATGTCGTCGTTAAACCATTTGAAGAAATTACAACCCTTGTTCACATGATTTCTGAAATTTTTACAACCCTAAAACTTTATTCCAAAATTGACGCTATTCATGTCACTCGCGGTACGAAGCACACATTCATCTTGGCAATAACATTCCCTCCTCTTGTTTCTGCGCATAATTGACCCAATTGTTCCAATAGAAGAACTGCATGACACCTTAGACATTGAAGAATATTCAAACCCTAGGAAGAGATAACGAAAGAACGAATAGATTAGGAAACTAGAACGAAGAGACAAAGGGAAGCAACCAGAATACTAGAACGAAGACATTAGGAAAGCAATCAAACAAATTCTTGAAAACAAGAGCAAGAGCAATTTTTTGAAAAACAAGAGGATGAGCGCAAGAGCAATTTTCTTGAAAACATTCAACCCTTTAAATCATTGTTTATTCTTTCTTTTGATGAGTCACCACACACTTGGCATGTCACTTTGGCATATATTAACGTTTTAACATCACAACTAACGGTAGGGATTTAATCTGCTAACAGAAGTAATATACGAGATCAATATGAAACGATTGTTTATTAAGGGACTGAATCGCAACTCAGAATTAACCTACGGAACTTGGGGACTAATTATGCCTAATATTTATATTGTCTTACTCCAAAATAACATATTGGTTTTTCTCATCTCACTAAATTTTATCTTTATTCTATTCAATTTTTATCTTTTAAATATTATATATAATATAATCAACATTTTGTCTCGTATTCTATTAGTTTCTTTTACATTAAATATTCTAATATTATTTTATACAATTTAGACATGTATTGTATTTAAAAATACATTATAGTATTTATAAAAAGTAATATAATATTTAAAAATATATTATATTTAAAATAATATAATTTTTATTTTATTTATAATAAATATTATGATATTTTAATTTAAAAATTTTATTAAAAATATCTGTTTAAGATCGGGTAGTCTGAAGTCTATCTAAGACAAAGTCGGATAGTAATTTTCGAACCTATATTAAAAAAAAAAATTTTGCCCCAACTCAAAAAATTCAAATCTTCTAAGACCAAACCTTTTAGGATCGGATAGTCCATTTTACCCTAACCTACTTTCTCTAGACAGTAACTTTGTCACAAGCATCTCAAACATAAATCACACAATTGTGAATATTTGATTAAAAAAACCACTTGAAGATTCTACATTAATTTATCAAAGATCAAAAGAAAATCCTACAATGGGTGTGACGGCTTGAAATAATTAGAGTATAATGTATGCATAAGCAATCAAATAATTCTCTCTCCCCTCCTTCAAATGTGGCCTAAAGAAAAGAGCAACAATAACTATTGAGCATCTTGTTTATACTTATCTAAAAAGAGACCCTAAACACATTTGAAAGACCTCATGGAGGGCCACTATACTCATTATTTTAGAGCAATAATAATGTCACCTTTTTGAGCCACCTCATACAACTAGCTTTGATCATATTTTCATTCACTGTTCTTTTTTTTTTCTATTTGCATGCTGATAATATTGGATACCTGTGCAATATGTTAAAGGTGTCACAAGAATTTGGAGTTGTGGGGGACCATGACAGCATTTGGCGACTTATAATTCATGAAAATGTATTAATTCAACCACCAAAAATTCATTTGCTTTAGATTTTGCTATGTTGGCCAACATCTACTTTATGAATCCAACCATCCTCTATGTATATTATATTCTTTTGTTTGTGTTTTTCTTTTTGTAATTAATCAGTTTACAGGGGTACATCCAAAGTAATTTGGGAGGTAGGAAAAATGCATTCCTACACATTTAGATGTTGTGAACACAATACTCCAGAATTAGGCATGCCAAGGAAATTCAGACTCACTCGGGTCCGTTTCGAAATTAATGAGAAAATTTTGATTTAACTGGATGCGAGTGCGGGTAAAATTCGATTTTTTATTACGGGTGTGAGGCGAACGCGGAGGATGCTACTACCCGGCCCTGCCCCCGCCCCGGTCTACTTTAATTTACTTTTATACCTCATTTTAATTATTTTATTATATATTTATTAGAGTTATTTTAATTTTTAAAAATAATTTTACTAGAAAAACATGTTTATTAGTTATTTTACTCTTTGGAAACATGTTTATTATTAAAATAATTAATTATTTAATTAAATTATTAATTTTTATTTTTATGAAAAAAATATTTATTTTTAAAAAAATAGTTTTACGGGTGGAAATGGGACGGGGGCGGATCTGGGTGGTAGTTTTTTACCCTCGACAGGGTGCGGATGCGGAGGCTGGTCTGTTTCATGGAGGCGAGTGCGGGTGCAGGACTGCTTAAACCCGCCCCATTGTCATGCCTATTCAAAATTAGAGCCCACTTCATTAAGCTGGTAGGTGTTACTTTATCCATTTCATGGGGTCCTAGTTTATTATGGTGAAAAATTAAAAATATCTTTAAATTTCGAAAATGTATCTTTGAATGCACCTATAATATAAATTTTCATTGATGAAAAAATATCACTTTGTTAGTGAATCACTTCCATTTATCAAAATTTGGTCTAAAATATATCTTTGAAATATTTCAGAGATTTGCTTTTGTAATTTGCAGTAATTTTCTAATATTTATGCTAGTTAGACTCTGTTAACTAGTTAGTTATTAGTTGATAGATTTATATTTTATTTGGAGAAGATTGTTTAAGAATGACGATTAAAAGTGAAAGGATCAAATAGAGACATACATAAAGTTGTTGGGGGAGTTTTCCAATTAGGGAGCATTGAATATTGTGAGACTTCCCTTTAAGTAATACCTTTGTGAGAGACACACCACATATTCACCCAAAACCTTAAGGTGATAGGTGGGTGGGTTCTCTCACTTATAAATACTCAAGTTTCCACATTTCCAACCAATATATGACTATTAATCATACTACTCACACTTGCTACATTCTCAACACTCATACTCAAGTGTGAGCCCACAATGCTCCCCCTCAAGTGGAAGTTCTTCTTACTTTTACAAACTCTTGTACCGCATAGAACGTTTCTTTCTCACCACTTTTATGGCGACGTTGACACTCTTCACCAAAATGTTTCTTACTCACCACCCTTGTGGCACCGTTGACTTTCGATACAATTAAGTCAATCCCTTTCTCAAACCAAAGGCTCATGATATCATGTGTTGGAGGATTTTTTCAACTAGCGAGTATTGAACATTATGGGACTTGCTTTTTAGAACAATACTTTTGTGAGAGACACACCATATATTCACCCAAAACCTTAAGGTGATGGGTGTGTGGGTTCTCTCACTTATAAATGCTCAAGTCTCCACATTTCCAACCAATGTTGGACTATTACGCATACTACTCACACTTGCTACATTCTCAACAGAAGTCTCGTGTTGATGGCTTAATTGATATCATTCACTATGCCAAAAAAGACCTTTAGCAACGCTTTTTTAAAGTGCCTTCTTAGACCCCCCCCCCTTTAGCAGTGCTTTTATAAAGCGATGTCTTAGACCCCCCCCCCCCCCCTTTCTCCACCTATAGCAGCGCTTTTGTAGCGCTCTCTTTGTCCCCTTTAGCAACGTTTTTTTGTAAACGCGTTGTCTAATCTTCACGGTTTTAAATTTTTTTAAAAAAAAAATAATGACACTTTTTTATATATTTTTCGACAAACATGCTTATAATTCAGACCTTTATTTCAACACTTTGGCCTTATATATACAACTCAACAGTTTGGCCTTTAAGTATACATTGTAATTCATCACTTTGCCCATAATCATTTTAATACACATAAACCTGCTTAAATATATTACAACAGAATTCGATCCTCAGAATTACAACATCACAAATACAATCAATTTACATATAATTACAAATCCGTTGACTTTACAAATAGATACATACGACTTCCAGAAATATCATTATCCCGCATCAATATTGGATGATACATATACCTTATACAATTCTCAACTCAAGAATAAATTGACACCATTCCTCCTTTATTTCTTCCAATCCTGCTTTCGAGTAAGTACCGCACTTGAAATCATCAAAGTACTACATAATATAACAGAACATGAATGATTTAGTTTTAAAACTAATTACTCAGATGAAACATCGGTTAATTATCAAAATGAATCATATAATTTATGAATTGATCCATACCATGATTGGAATCTTTATTTGACCAGAATGAATAATTTCCTTCATAAAGCGCAATACAAAATATCCGCAATCAATCCCATTG